TATGCTTCATCACCACAGACATTGTCTAAACTGGGTTATTAGCTCTAAAGTTATTGAGATTTCTCGTAGGTCTACAAAATAGCTGAATTTTACACCCAGCTCTCTCACATTATTTTGTATATCAGCCTTAGTTTTACTTTGTGCCTAATAACCTCACCTTCAGGGTCAGGACTCTCTTCATATATTGCCTTCATGTACCCAGAGAAATACAGCAAGACATTTCGCTCAATAAGACCATTGTCAAAAGGACATAGATGTCCTTCCTTGTCATATATACTGAAAATAAAGAATGATAATTATGACAGTCCAATACCAAGCCATGAATGAAATTTCCACAAACAGAAATCTACCTCAACACCCTTGTGTGAAAAACAACCTTAGATAGTATGTAAGATTTGAGGTCATACTGCATTGCCCTGATGACGGAGGCAGAATGACCTCAGAAACATTGGTAAACATCGACCAGACTACACAGAGAAACCCAGAAGACAGAAATCTTCAACCTTAGATAGCTTTTGTACTAACCTGGCAATACAGCAATAAATACAAACACAGTTAAAGCAAGACTGTTTAAAACATGTAATAAATTACATTCTCCCTTTTGCATTATCTTTCACCTGATTTCCAAAATTATTCTTGAAATATGAGTCACTCAGACACTCCATACTTTCATACTGCACCTAAGAATCATTTCAACCACTTCAATATTACTTTCCATCTATGTTGAGACATCTCAAGTGGTCTCTTCCCTTCAAGATTTCACATTTCCCAAACACCTTCAATCCATGTCACATACCTAAAATATGTGACTTTACTCTGAGGGCGGTGATCATGTTCATGAATAGTGTACTCATCACCAGTAAAAAGAGACAATTTTGGATCAGTCAATGCCACAAATTCTTCCACTGCTTCAACAGGATGTCCATGGTACAACCTCAAATCAGGGTCATCCAGGATCTGTCGACAGATCTGGCATTTGGATGGTATTCCTTTGGTTGTATTAGGAGTTGACACTGTTTTCTTTCTGCAATAAATGTAATTGCAATATATTAAAGGACACTACCTTCAAATAACATTAAAGCAATAATTCACCTTCAACAAAAAATATTCAAGAAGTTGCAACATTATATGATACAGATCATATTTCAAAACAGAATTAATGTGCGCAGTGGAAGCTGAACTAAAATCAGAAACAGAAATGTCAACTACAAGTAAAAACATAATTTTTCAGGACAGAAGACTAGATACAACATGTTGAACATGTTTTCTGTGTTTGAAAAACACCGATTACAAAGTTGGGTTGGACACTCAGAAGCACACCACACTTTTAATCTTTCCACAAAAACATAGCAATACCCAGTCTAAACATGTAAACATCAAGTAACTAAGTGAACTTACATATAAGGGTAGATTTCTAGCTCAGGACCACATCTTTATATATATGGGTAGATTTCTAGCTCAGGACCACATCTGTAAAATTTTAAGTAAAGAATGTGCAATGGTGGAGGGGTGAAAAGGGTGTAATAGCATATATGAACTTTTATTAACCACAAATTTCATACGCAACAACTGTTTTGCCAACACAAATCTTCCTCTTTTTTCTGACACCAGTAAAGACTTGCAATCAATAGAAGATTACATAGGAAATTCTTTTTATGAAAGAACTAAATGCACTATATAAATAAATAAAGTGACAACTACCTCAACAAGACATAAAAACTTTTGCAGAATACATATAGCCTGACAGATCAATTGGTAAAGACAGCATACATTTAATTTGCTATATATATATATATATGTGTGTGTGTGTGTGTGTTATATAAACACACACACGTATGTATACACCCTCCCCCCCAAGAAACTACAAAATACAACTGTGAAAACTAACTTTGCAGGAACTGGATCACCATTTTCTAATTTAACTTTCTTCTCAACCTGCATTTCTGTGTCTGTTTCTTCAATTTCCTCCTTGCCATCTGCCTCTTGTGTCACTTTTGATTCTTCCATATTCTTCTCTTCCTTGTGCACACCATCCACAACAACCTGAACTTCATCACTTTTCCTCTTGTTTGATGATTTTGTAACATGGAGGAGATAGTCATCTGTTTACTACCATTCTGTGCAGCACCCTTCTTAGATTGTAATGAACCTGAATTTCAGAAATAAAAAGCCTTTAGTACTTCCTTAACCAAAAATGACATTAGAGAAGATATACTAACATGAACAATCAATATGTCAGTTTATACAGGACCACCCAAAAGAAACATATTTTCAGTTGTACTTACATGTTTTGTGTTGCTGTATGTTTAAGTATTTATGTTATGTTGTTAGTAGTCATGGAATATGTTGAAACTAACAATATAAAAAGAGTAAGAAAATAAAAATGTAATGTTTGTTTTGGGCATCAATACATAAGTTCTGATGATAGGTTTTGGTCAGAGTAAGGTATAGACAGCAGGACAGACAAACATAGTGTATGTAACATCAGTAACGGATGGAAGTGACTGGTTGTAGGATTTGAGGTTTTCACAGAGGTGAGTCTGAAGATTGCTGCCTTCTGGGTTACTGTGCCGTGTAGTCTGGTGGAAATCTATCAGACTACACTGCGCAATAACCCAGAAGACAGCAATCTTCAAATTAGATAAAATCACAATTTTTGCTCGCACAAGGTACCTGTACATTTCTCTGGGTTTTAAATGGTTCAGCGACTCAAGGCCACAGCATTTTTGTGTCGCCGTCATTTCCAACAGCTCACATACTCACAGTACGGCCTAATTTGGAGTGAGAGAAACAATTAGGCAGGCCCCTTAATATTCCAGATAGTGGCAGTCAGAGAGTTAATTTCGGAGTCCACTCCCATCGATACAGCAAACTAGACGGGGCTGCTAATGGCAGCCCATCACTCCAAGAGAATGGGATGGGCAATTTAAGTTTAGCTGGCAGCTGAGACCAAATGTAATGCATACTAACCTGAGGGTGATATGAAGCTATTTTCAACATTTTGACTAGGAGTCTTCCTTGATCCCAGAAGTGTGCATGGCTGGGTATTTGGACCAGTCAATCTACAGTTCTGAGATCTAGTCAGTATCTGAAGACCTAGTTTTTTCTTCTGTTTCCCTTCTTCCTTCACAACTCTGCCACTGCTAGAACTTCCACTAGCTGTTTCTTCATTCAACAATATGTAATTGTTTTCCAATTCATGCGAACTACTTTCTCCATCACACTTGGCATTCTTACTGGACCTTACATTTCCATCAACAGCTTTTTCTTTTTCTTGCTCAGTTACACAAAATTCAAACTTGAGGCACTTAATCATCTGATTGTAATATTCAGTCTAGTAGGAGTAAAAACAAGACATGTCACATTACAAAAATCAAACATGAATAATCACATACCTAAATTGCAAAATTATTACAATAACATTCAAATAAGTATTTCAATTATTTTTATGCTGCTGAAGATATGCTCCTCCAAAATGTTCGGATTCAATCTTCACCAAAATTGAGGCTTAAAATATTTTTAATATTAAACCGAAGAAAGCATACTCCCACACCAATGGTGACCACAGAGTTCTTCAAGTTTTATTTGCAAGAGCTCAAAAAGCAACCCCCCCCCCCCAAAAAAAAAGGAAGAATTTATCACATAAAATTGTTATTTTACTGAACTTAATAAATTCTGTCTGAAACAGTAAATTAACTGAGACGATGTTTTACAGATTAACTTTATTGTTTAAGTGAAGTAGCTTCATTGATATGGTTTCATCATACCATTACATTCCTTAAATTGCATCAAAGCATAATAACCCTTCCTGCCATGCAGAATAATATTTTAATATGTAGCATAAAAGTTTAGTTTCCTGTTAATAAATAGTCCACAATGGCAAATACAAACCTCAGTTAGGTTATGTTAAAACACATCCTAATCTAACATTATCAAATTCATGTTTCTAGCATAAATATATAAATTATTATATTAAAAATATTTAACTTCATTATGGAATTAAACTATTATTATTATTATTATTATTTAGTATTATTTATTTTATTTAGAATTATTAAATTGAATTATATTACTTAGGTATCGTATATAGCCCATTTACTTGTGAAATATGATTCAATAAATGAATCAAATTATTATTATTATTATTATATGGTGCATTTATATATTTAGTTTCATTTGTTTGTTTTACTTTTATTATTAT